CGTCGCTTATGGCTCTGTTTTGCCATCTCTCCAGCCACGAAGCAATCGACTCACGAGCGACGTATGGCTGCTCTGCAAGAGGAGATTGACATGCTTGAGCAAGAGAATGTCGGCAAGCGAGACTGGACCTTGATGGGCGAAGCATCGAGCAAGAAGCGTCCAGAGAACAGTCTGTTGGAGGAGGACTTGGAGTTTGAGAGTGCAGGAAAGGCCAAGCCCATCATCACCGAGGAAGTGACTGCGGGTTTGGAAGATTTGATCAAAGCTAGGATCCTGGAGAATAGGTTCGACGATGTGGTGCGCAAGAGAAACATTGAGGCTACGCCGTTCTTGCCCAGCAGGCTGCTGGAACTTTCGGACGCCAAGAGCGCAAAGAGCTTGGCTCAGCTGTACGAGGACGAGTATGCGGCCTCTAGAGGGGATGGTGATACCGGCGCGAACGCACCTGCGGCGGATGCAAAGCTGCAGAAGGAGCATGAAGAGATCGAGCAGGTGTTCGATGAGGTGTGTGCCAAGCTGGACGCACTCAGCAACGCTCACTACACTCCAAAGGCGGTCAGTAGGTTCGGCAGATTGTGTAGACTCTGTTCAAACACTGATCAGTCTCGCATCACTCTTCATTTGCAGCCCAAGACGTCTATTCGGACCATCGCGAACACTCCGACGATCAGCATCGAGAGCGCCTTGCCCTCCACCTCTTCGGCCGGAACAATGCTGGCACCAGAGGAGATTTACGCGCGCGCAGCTCATTCCGCCTCCCTCTCGGGCGATCGGTCGGAACTGACGCCCGAAGAAGCTCAACGGCTGCACCACAATTTGCGTTCGGAGAAAAAGGCGCGCAACAAGCGCATTGCGGACCATCAAAAGGCGCTGCAGATCAATGCGGCTGCTAGCGGACGCAGAGTACCCGGCAGCGCACCCGGCGGCAGAGGTAAAAAGGCGGAGAGGGAGGAAAAGGACACGGCGCTTAGGGGCCTTTTGGGAAATAAGGGCGTGAGCGTGGTAGGCAAGGGGAAGGAGGCCGGTGCGGGAAAAGGTAAAGCAAAGGGCAAGGGCAAGAGGGGCGGTGATGCTACCGCGCCGTCTAGCGGAGCAACGCTCAAGCTCTAAGCATGTGTTCCATGCCGCACAGCTGCACCGAGCTCATTCGCACGCTCAGGTATTTCTTTCCATCTTTGCTTTCTGCACGCGATTCTGTGATCTGCGCATCCCAAACCCCTCTATAAATTCTAGCTAGCAATGGAATATGATACAAGCGAGCAAAAAGCCAATGCCGAGCGTCCAGATGCGAGGAGGTGCTGCTATACGGGACGCGCCATCTGTGTAAACGAGCAGCTTTTCAATTTCCCAGCGTGCTTCCGAAAAAGCTCGCGGATTGTCTGCGGAGGCCGGGGGGTGGGCGCATACGTGTCAGGAAACAGCAGTTGGTTGATCGTCGGTGTGCACATGTGTGGACATAACGTCAGCCAACATGCTCATGCTCACTCACTCCTAACGTATTCGTCGCACGTCGTGTTCTTGGGACACGTCGACACGTAAGGAAACGTTTCGCCAGCCCCTGCGATTCGAGAAAGTTTGAGGAGATGAAGGAAAGACCTGATCAATCATCTATCTGCACGGCCATAACTCGCAAAAGAGGAAGAGAGATGTTGGGAGGGGCGGGAGAGAGGGGGGGCTCACGTGTCCCACGCTCTTTTGCGAGAGCGGAATGCCATGGCTTTTGTGGACTCACAATAACCGCAAAAAGTGAGGTTGATGATGATTTCGTGCTCGCCGAAATACCTGTCCATGGGGCACGAAGGCGCGAGGTCCGTTGTGTTGCTTGATCCCATAGCGCGCAAAGCGGGTGTGGGCGTCGTGGGAAAGAAGGCGGCGGGTCTTCCCCAATTCTCACCTGATCTGCCGCCGAGTGCGGGATTGGTAGCGTTGAGACCGGTGAGGACAAAGGGAGGGGTGGAATTGGTCGATAAGAAGGAGGGTAGATCGGTCGAGGAAGTTGAGGAGGGGTAAAAGTAGATGGAGATTCCAGGTCCTGGAAGCCGCGTCGTCGTCGTCGTCGTGCTGCTGCTGAGGTCCCTTTCGTTTGATGTGGACGAGACGGGAGAAGTGTCGCGAACCATGACGAACCAGCCTCCGCCATTCTGGTTGAAAGCGGGACCAAAGGAATTTGATAGCGAGAAGCTTTCGGAGCAGCCTGGTTGGTACTGACAATCCGTTTGACCCGTGAATCTTGGAAGGATGGGACGACATTTACATGAATTTCATGAGTCGCGCGTTCTGGTTGTCCATCACCTTCGTTTGCATAGCTGGGCCTTGCACTCACCCAGTCGAGATGGAAGAGTTGCCAGCAGGAATGGTACAGCCGGCAGTGGTGTGCAGACTAGCCAGATTCCTAGGTCCTTGATCATTGGCACCTTCCACAATATCAATCTCTCCACCAGCTGGCCAGTTGCTCGTCGTGCAAGTCCAAAAAGCCGGCCACGTTCCGCATCCGCTCGGCATGTGTTTGACCCGCATCGCCACGATGCCATCCTGAAGCTTGTCGATGGAATGAATGCGAATTGATTTTCGGCCGGACGAGGAAGGCGATGCGATGGATGCATCCTCTGCTCGCATGACGAAATTGCCCGTGCTCGAGTCGACGTATGACAAGTTTAGGGACTGCGATTCCCGTTTGCTGACGTAGCTACAGTAGCAAAGAGAAGGCGAGAATGTTTGCTGAGCTCGCCGCTTGGCGCTGCAAGGAACTCGCTACTTGGCCAGACTTACTCGACCGTGCCGTGGGTAGGATCGCCATAGTTCCACCAATAGAAAGAATCATAAAATCCATCTCCTCTGATCTCGTTGCGAAGTGTGAAATTGCGTGCGCAAACGCGTGGCAAACATAGCAAGATGTACGTCCAAAAGGTCGTCGCCAGAGGCAAGAGGGACTGCCGGATGCGCGACCGATGACCACCGACCATGGGAGGTATCGTATTCTACGGAGAGCAAGCAAAGTCGACGTGAGAGGTGTGAGAGATGGTAGCGGGGAAAGTATGACTCGATCATGATCGGGGCCACTCTGCTGCTCACGACATTGCACCGCACCGCACCGCACCGCACCGCCACCTCGACTCGGACCTCAAATACAAGTCAGAGTTTGAGTCACAGTATGCAGACTTGCCCAGCAGCTTCAACGAAACTTTGGTATGGGGCTTGGCTTGCATGATGATTTCATGCTCCGACCGGGCAGCAAGAAGGTGCAGGCAGACCCAACGGTCGATGTGTGCAAATTGAGCAGCTTCGCCCGCACAAGCTTTATCTATCAAAAATGGGGAGCACGAGCATGAGCATGAGCATGAGCATGAGCATGAAGCATTCCTGTCGCCCTTTCTTCCAAGCTCAAACAAACGGCATGCGTGGAAGCTATTGACTATCCAAGACGATGAGGCAACAGCAGAGCAGCATTCACATTTTCAAAAGGTCGAGCGAGCGAGCGCGCATGGGAGCGCAGCGCAGCGCGGCGTGGCGTGGCGTGGCGTCCGCAAAACGAACCTTCCCGCTCCATCGCCCTCGCGGCTTTCTAATCGTGAATCCTCTCTGGTTTTCCCGCCTCGGCCTATCGATCGCGTGCATGGGATGGAAACAATTTGAGTCAAAGTCGTGAGTCTGAGTTTGAGTTGGCGCGCGTCACGTGAAACGTTGAAACAAGTTGCGCTTCCGAAGAGTTGAAGTTGGAGTTGCGAGTTTAGTCGTGATGAGAGTGTTGTGAGTGTCGAGCTGACTATAGCTTCGAGTCGTGAGTACAACGCATGCTCATTTGAGGAGCAGGGGTCACCAGTCACCAGTCACGAAAACGGCCCCAGTCATGCAGATAGACTCGTGATTCTTGACTCGCAAGTACAGCAGTCGTGAGTGCTTCTGTTCGATCAATCCACTAGGCAATCCAGGGCACGTGAGGAGAGTCTGTTGAGGTCTTTGCACAGCCGAATCGAAGTCACAATACCTCAACTGCCTTCCAAGGCATGCATGCCATTTACCGCAAACAGATGCAGGAGGCCTATCAACCAGCTGACCACACGTCAAACCGGGTGGGTGCTAGCGATGCATTCAAACGACCGCAGAGCACAGCTGAGCGCCAATCGCTCACAGCTTGCTTTCCTGCTCATCGATCGTCCAGAGTCAAGAGAGCTGAGCGCTAAAGAAGCTCGCCACTTGGTTCGCAGCTGCGCCCATAGCCTGAGCTGTGTAAGCGTCACTCTCGTCTCCTCGAATGGCGAAGCCTGCAGGCAGGCGAGCAAGGCGAGATCGTCATCAGCCCGCAAATCCAATCCTCAAATCCAGACAGGTCTCCATTTCGAGGTCAGATGTAGGGCCATCTTGTGCTCACCATGCGTGACTCCAGGGTACCAGACCCACGTGGCCAATGGTCCGCCCTGCTTTGCAAACTTCTTTGTCGCTTCTTGAGCCGCTTCCTTCTTCTCCGGCGTGAAGATCTGATCGTGCTCCGCCAGCACAAACAATCCGGGGACTTGAAGAGCTTCAAAGTCGGACGTCTCGGTGAGGGATGGATGGGCAAAGGCGACCGCGTCTACTTTGGAAGCTCCCGCTGCTGCTGAGCCCAGATGAAGGATGGAAGGGGCTCCCCACTGTGGCGTGAAGCGATCGCATCAGTCAGCATTTAACATCCCGTCCAGCACACTCTCAGTCCACTCCGCCACGCGTCGATCAGCATGACTCACGCAGTAGCCCACAGCTCCGACCTTCTTTGGCTTTTGCACCTTTCTGATCTCCTCCACCGCCTCTCTGACCGACGGCCACGCCGCATCTCTCGGGTGGTACTTGGCGATGAATTCGGCAGCTACGGGCTTGAACGTGGCAGGGTCGGGCGATGCAAGTCTCTGCTTGTTGAAATCTTCGTTGTTGTGGAAATCGGGAATGTAGACCCTAGAGGAGCAGCGTGGCAAGGTGAGCGGATGATGCAAAGTGTCGACCTGCGCTCATGTCACCAGCTCACCTGGCACCAATGTGGCTGGCAAACTTGTCCGCGACTACATGAACGTTGTTGAAGGAGTAACCCCAGACTGGTAAAAGGCGTTTGAGAGGGCATGTATGCGCATACTTGCGATCAGCAAGAACCGTGCAGGCGCCCCAATAGACGCCCGCGCACCCACGACTCACCGTCGGGAACGATGATGACCGCCTTGTCGCTCCTTTCGTCTCCCGTGATGTAAGCGTCGAACTTGCCCAGCTTGGTCAACTGACCCGTAGCCTTGGCTTGGCTGAAAGAGCCCACTTCCAAGCAGGAAGCACAGAGCGACATGGTGACGTGCAAAATGAGGGTGGGTGAGCAAGGCTGCTTGTTGTATCGGGCAAGATGATGCGATTGAGTAGGCTTCACTCTGTCTGCTGGTTGGTGAGGGTGGTCGTGATGGAGAGAGATGCGGTCAGTGTCCTCTTATAAGTCACGAGTGACGAGTCAGAAGTGTGTCGCAAGGAAGGCGTGGAGTCTGAGTGAAGGAAGTAATGCGCGCACGCTTGGGGGCACAGACCACACGCAGCATCCACCCACACGCACGTGCAGCCAGCATCCATCCCTCCACTTTTCAGCTCGCGCGCCATGCCATGCAGCTTCACAACGATCACATGAATCACGAATTTGTGATCTGCTGACGCACGCACGCGGCGCAGGCGAACAGAATCGTGAATAATCACAGCATAGCATGAATGCATGTCTGCGCTCGGTGAGCTAGCTCCTCGGCATGCCGCGCGCACGCGCACGCTAGCCATGCGACCCCAAACCCTTCGGCCCTGTTCGGCCCAGCAGCTTCACTCACCTGCTCCTTCTGACTTGTGATGACTTGGCGACTACTGGCTCACAGCGCCCACGCACCTACTGTAGCTGCTCGTCTTGCCGTCGCAGTCGTGCGTGGTGCGTGGTGCGTGGTGCGTGGTGCGTGGTGAGTGAGTGTTGCTCTCTAAATAGAACACTGCGTCGAGCATTCCGGCGGCGCCATGCGTGGGCATGCTTTCAATTGCATGCTACCCGTCGCCCTCCTCAATGCATAGCATCACCCAGACCATGGCTTCGCTCGCTCACCCCAACAACGAGTGCGATGCAAGCCGACCGGCAGCGCAATGTCCATGCCTCAGCTTACCCGCGCGCTCACGTCTCGCAATCACAAATGGTGAAAATCAGCTCTCCTCATCCTCATCCTTCTCCTTCTCCGTCTCCGTCCGCCTTGGCCGACTGACAAGACCTTTTCAGTCGCACATGTTTGCCCCCAGGATCGGACATCCTCGGTCGTTGCGCAGTCGTTCATCTAGACCGCTCGCCCTAGATCCATACAGGCGCTGTATGTTCGCATTGCGCCAATGTCACGCTGAAAAGCCGCACAAATCCCGAAAAATGCTCGTCGGTGTTTGCGCAAGGGCAGACAAGGTCCCCTTGTGACATGCATGATTCTTCCATTCGATTTGTGCCTGTGAACTCGGTCTCGCGCTTGTGACTGTGGCATCTCCACGGCGCATCCAAAGGTTCGATGCCGCTGCCTATCGCACCTCGCTCTTTTTACCTGTTTCTAGTGCCTCCAAAACCCGTCGAAGTGTACCTCTCGCTCGATCCGCTGGCTCGTTGATCCCTAGTCGACGAATTCCCCCTTCTCCGCCCATCCTCTCTTCTTCCAAAACCCGTCGCGAACCTATCCTCGTCCCACGCGTTGCGCGGGTCCGCATATCTCGCCTCAAAAGTAGCTGTTGGACGTGGAGGAGCATTGAATGCGTTCCAAGCCGCGTTAGCTAGTCCGCCCAAGCCTAATCCGGTCCAAAATCCAGGCCTCCATGCTGCGCCATTGGGCACTCCACCGCCTGCAGAAAAGGTTGCCGAAGGATCCGGCTTGTAAGGCGGTGGAGCATCCCCACCACCACCACCTCCTCCTCCAGGCCCACCCCCAAAACCCGGTCCACCTCCGCCCAGCCAGCCTAGTCGACGTGGTCCGCCAGCACCAGCAGTAGATTGCGTCAAGCTCTGCACAAAGCGCAGCACAATGTAGATTACCACGCCCCAGAATAGGTACGGGAAGAGCGTGTCTAGCAGCGATACTTTGTCTGCGCAAGAGAATTGGAATGCTGCATCAGTAGCCCCCTCGTTGCCTGGCGCTCGCACATGCATAGACGCAGCGATGACTCTCACCTTGTCCATGACTTGTCGTATGATGCTTCGAGGCGGAATGGTATGCGGGTAAGAGACGGTAGGTGAGAGCACAAGAGTCTGTCGACGAGGGAAAGACAGAGGAAAGAAGATGTTAGGAGCGGTTATTGATAGCTAGGGATAGCAGCTCCCCGTACACGGACTTTTGCTCACCCTTTAGAACAAAAGGATCTTCCGAGTGATCCCAACCTTCGCAAGACACTTCCACCCTGCCCAATCTGACAGAGGTGGGCAAATCCGCTTCGCACTGTAGCATGTATGCGTCGAGAATCTCAATCAGTCTTGGGGCACCAGAGCGCTAAACGCACCCTGCTGCGGCGCCACCAACTCACTTTCCAATCCCCACCACCGATAGATTTGCAAAAGACCACGTCAGGTCTTGCCCACTCGCACGCTTCTCCCTCACACGTGAGCTGAGGAATAGGTTTGCTCCTTCTACCTTTTGTCAGAGCGTCGGCGTAGAGTGTCAAGCGACGAATGCTCTCCATTCGAATACGATTCGGGTTGGAGCTGGCTGCGGCGATGACCATGTTGGATGGGTAGATGGCTGGTAGGCACAGCGAGAGCGTTGGAAGCACGTGTGCGAGCCGCATTTTGAGCAAGAGCCGTTTTGGATGCTCAGTGCTCGAGGGGTGAGTGCACTACGGGTCGAGAGTCTCGCGATGGAACCAAGTCGATTTTGCCGCTTGACTAGCCCACAGATGAGGGGAGGGGGTGCTCACGGTTGCCTGTGAGGAGCAGCACGATGGCATCAGTTGCCTTGACGATGTTGGGTTCAAGCCGAGGTGGTGAGCCTGTGGTACCGGCGGGCAAGGGCGCGGCGATCTTCCTTTGATGCTCGTCTAGGAGGGTGTAGTCAAGAGCCGAAAGCAGCAGGGGGTCCTGGAAGCGCGAGTCGTGAGTTGCATTTGCTATTCAGATTGGCGATCCGCCGTTCGTCAGCCCTGCTGCGCAAGAAGGGAATGTGAACCGAATGACGTGGAAGCTTCAAGTCGGGCGTGCTGTAGCTGCCTCTGCTGCTGCTGCTGCTGCTGCGTCGGCGTCACGAGGTGGGGAGCGAGAGTGTGACGAGACCGCGGATTGATCAGGAAAGCCAGTTTGAGCGCCAGCAATCAGTCAACTTTCCATTAACACATCAATCAATCACTTCGTGATTCCAAAGCCTTGCGCGCGACTCATCACCATCCAGCATCCATCAGCATCCGCGCAGTCACGCTAGTCGAGTCAATCACGAGGCGAACCAACCGCCTTCTTTGCCCGCCATCAGCAGCGCCCGCGAGGCGCCAGCAGCCCTCCACGTCGACGTAAATTAGCACAGCCTCCCTGGCGCCTGACCGACGCGTGTGCGCGCAGACACGTGACGTGATGCGGAAACGCTCCCTCCTCAGCCCTCAGCAGACGTTTGACTCGCACTCACGACGCTTGACTATCGGCACATCTGTTGTGAATCGTGAATCACGAATCAAATGCATATTCAAGATTCCAAATCCAGATTCAGATTGCAGCTCACACACGCACTTCGACTACTACAAGGTGATAGCAATTGAATGGCTGTCGTGCAGAAAATGGTGAATCAAATGCAAGACCTCGGACTGAATAACGTGTCCACCGATGCAAGGGCCGCTGTTTTTGCGCTCACGACTGCTTCAGATACTCGTCGAACTTGCCCTTCCAATCGTCGTGCCATCTCGAGAGTGCGGGTCTGTCGTGCGTGATATCCTCGACATTCCACTTGATACGTTTCAGATCCATCTCTTTGCTCGTCTCATTGTCAGGGCAGAGCACGTAGAAGCTCTTCCTTTCCAGTCCTTCTCTCACCAAGTAATCCACCGTCTGTTCGGGCGACCAAGCACCATCTGGTTTGGATTTGCCTTCCTTGGCACCTGTGAGGCCCGTATGCACCCATCCAGGAATCAACAGATGCACCGAGACGCGGTCCCTTGTGCTTGAAGAAGCTCGAACTTCGTGAGCCAGCTGCTCCGTGAACACCTTGACTCCCGCCTTGGAGATGTTGTAGGCGGGACCAGTGCCCGGTGGACAAGTGATGCCTTGCTTGCTGCCCGTAGTGATGATGGCGGCAGGTTGGTCGTGCGCTTGAATGAGCGGCAAGAAAGCTTGAACGATGTGAATCACTCCATACAAGTTTGTATTCAAAATTCTCTCCCAATGCTCATCCCAATTCCCCACTTTTGTTCCTCCTCCCGTCCCAGCATTAGCCTGAAGCACGGTCAACTTTTTGCCTTGAAAACACGCGCGCACTTCATCCGCTACCCTCTTGACCGCTTCCCGATCCGACACATCCACGCTCCAACCTTTGTACTCTTCCGAAGAAGCGCTACCGGTAGCAGAAGAGGAGATGCGCTCGATGGCAGAGTCTAGATCTGTCTGAGATGCACGATCCAGGATGCCAACCGAAAGACCCAAAGATGCCCAGCGTTGAGCGGCTGCTAGACCGATACCCGACGCGCCGCCAGAGATGATGGCTAGAGAGCCGCGAGCGACTTTTGAGGTGTGGGTGAGCGCGATGGTGGGTGAGCAGGCAGTGAGGTAGGTGTCAGCTATGGACAAGAGAGAAGCGAGGTGAGAGACGGCATGCATACTCACGTGCTGGATGGGACATGCTGCCAAATGACGATGGATAAGCAGCTGAAATCACCGAGTGTTCAGACGAGGTGGTGGTTGTGTATAGCTATCAGGCAGCCCATACAACTCCATATATGCAATCGTGAATAGAGCACATCGATTCAAAATTGCAACGTCTGCGCTCTTGCACGGCCGGGTAGTCACAAGTGGTAAAGTGGAGGCTCGCTCGCTGCATACACTAGCTCGCACGTGCTTCGGAGGAACCACACTCAGATCTGCGCGTGGGCGGATTACATTTGGTGCATCGTGGCGCAGGACGCGCGTGCTTATTGTGCGTCCTGCTGCGACTGGTCACGTGGACATTTCACGGACGAGATTTTGGCCTGCATTATGTGCTGAGCTGGTCCATGGCATCAAACGGTACATCTCACCCTTTCCCCTCTTTCTCCCTCCTTCGCAGCGAATGCCAGCACCAGCACCAGCACCAGCACCAGCACCAGCACCAGCACCAGCACCAGCTCCCCTTGCAGTCGATCATCTCGACAAAAGGCAGCTACGAGCTGAGCGTTGTAGTGTGTGCATTCCTGCGAAGAACAGCATGACCCCACTGCCGACATCAAGCACCGATTGGCCGGTGCATTACACCTGGCAGAGATGAGCACTCGTTCTGACACAGGATCACGCTTGGCTTCCTCCGACGACGACGCGCTTCCAAGTCTCTTCCCGTACATTCCAACGTACGATCCCAGCGCATACACTCGTCACCTGTCGCAAGCACACGCCTCGTCCAGCCTTGACGATGCGTCCACTGCTGCCTCGGATCACATCGCATCTCGCTGCGCACCGACTCGCATCCTCCTCGCTCAAAAAGCTCTTCAAAGGGACGAAGGTGGGAAGAAGAGAGCAAGGGATGTCTGGGAGGATGCAGCTTTGGATGGCACCGAGGAGTTCAGAGATGTGAATGGCAAGTTGAGGAGGAGACGAAAGGATGCCGCTGTGAGCAAGCTCGAGCGTGCTGGTGTGGCTGACGAAGGGGATGAAGAGGCGCAGGGAAAATCGGCGATTGCGTCTTCGGTTGCAATTGGCCCCACCACCTCGGACGCGTGCAGAGACCAGCTGTGCAGCACCTCTGGCCAGCTATCCACGCCTACATGCGCTATGCCGAGCGCATTTCGGTAAGTGCGCGTCGCGATAGCATGCGCAGCTCTGCAACTCATTCCTTGCTCGCCTTTCTACAGCTTTGCAGAGCACTCAGAAGAGCTCAGCGTCTACGTTTCGCGCGAGCCTCGACCAGAGATGAATCTGCTTCGTCATGCCGTGCAAACAAGCCTATTGCACACTCGTCCTTCGCGTGTTCTGACGGAACGCACGCAAGCCGACACAGCCTCATCACACGAGTCTTACTCGACCATCTTGACATTTGACATCTACTCCCTTCCCCATTTGCGTCGTACTGGTCATACGCCCACTCTCAACCAGCCAGCTGCACCAAAAGACGGTGAGAGTGCGCCCTTCGGTCCTGACAGTGCTAGGCGACGAATGCCGCTCTTTCTCTCTTCTCAGCACACTTATCAATCTCAAACCATGGAAGTACGCGCTTCCCAGACGCTTGGGTGTCTTTTCGATGGGATGATCTGCAGGACAAAGGATGTACCGCACATGGCGTCTCGAGTCACTGTCCAAGAGGGCAGGTCGAACTCTTGCGGCGCTCCTAGGACTGGAGCGATTGATACGACCGACTCGAGATCGACTGGGAGTATGCAGGCACGAAGCACGGGCAACAAGATGACATCCTCAATGGCTTGCATGGTTGGAAGCACGATCTTTGGTCTTGCTGGCGAATCTTTCGATGAGAGCTATGCACAGTGAGTGGTTACTGCCGTGTCGGACGTGCTCGCTGCGCCACTCGAGGCTCACGCTGATCACAAAAGCTGCATCCTCTCCCCCCCTGCTCATTTGCTCGCAGGGCTCTTTTCAAGAGGCTCAAAAGTGCAGACCTTCCGCCAGCTGTACCAAGCTCCGCTTCTGCGCTGCATCATCATCCTCATCTTTTTGCGTCAGATGAACCAAGGACAGGCGCCCGCGTCGCCTTGTCGGCACATGATGCTCACTCTGTCCGTCTAGACACTCTTGAGCTTGACGTGAGACAGAGCATCTGGTTCTTGCATCATGGGGCTTGCGAGCACTACGCCGTATTGAACAGCATCAGATGGGACAGCGGAAATGTGCTGGATGCAAGAAAGGTGCGCGGAAATTCCGAGAAGAGGGAGCGAAGGCAGAGCTCGGCGCGAGAGTACACCGATTGCAACAGCCACGCACCTGCAAATGATACTAGCCATGCAGCTTCACACGACGCTTATCCTCGACATACGTACATCAACGCCGAGGCGCTCCTCAGACCGATCGTCAAGTACAGCAAATTGTACAGCATGCCGGAGCAGTACGGTCTGGGCAAATGCTGCATTTGTACGCGCAAGACTGCTCGAATGATCATCGTTGGGGGAGCCAGAGTGGTGGGGCAAGTCTATCCGGAGCTGGAGGGCGAGGCAAGAGGTCGACATGGGAGCGGCTCGAGCGGGAACGAGGCAGGTGCTGGCGAGACATCCGCACGTCGAGGCGCACCTCGGTTGAGAGTGGCAGGCCTGCCACGCCAAAATATGCCGGCGTGCGAATCATGCTGGCAGCTCATTTGTCCAGATCTGCCCCCTTGGTGGCAGGCGTACAACACCTCAAAGAAGCGAGACGAGGAGGGCAGCGATTCGATGAAAAGGGCGACACGATCGAATGGCTACGCGTCGTTGGAGGATGCTACTGGAAAGAGTTGGAGTTTTGCCCGAGGAAAAGGTTGGGCGGTGATCCCTTTGCTGGATTGAGCACATAGCGCGAGTGGCTCAGTTGCGAGGATGCAGGAGGGCGCTGCAAGCACCGACACCCGCTTTGTGTTATATCTGCAAACATCTGAATGTCAAGCTGGCATTCAGGCTGGCTGGCTGGCGTGCCACAACCACGACTCAAACGCACGCTACGAGTGCAAAAAACACGATTCCGATTCTGACTCAAAGCACCCATCGCTCTTCTCTCTGGCCTCTTTTGTCAGCTCGAACAGGTCTTGCCTGCTGGTCCAATGTCCAGATATCCCTCTCGATGACCCTAACCCTCGCTGCTGCATCTCGCCTCTCGACGAGGATGGTCGTAGCCACGCGCGTAGCGTACCAAGCAGTCTTGTTGGGATCCATCGGCACGCTCTGCGTCTTGTCGGGCAAGCGAACGGGCGGAATGTGTATCGACCGCTTGAAATTTTCTCGTGTGAGAGGTTCAGAGTCTGGCAAGGAGGTACTGTAAAGTCCAAGTGGAGGGCCGCGTTGGGCGCCAGCATCAATCAGCACATTGCGCTCGGCATGTGCGTGTGTGCATGTTCAAGCAGGCACGCTCAACATTCCTTCCAACGCACCTGAGCAGACTGAATAATTCTTCGATGAGCGCATCTTCTTCGGCCGACTCTGCGTCTGCGTCTGCGTCTGCGTCTGCGTCTGCGTCTGGGCCACGCTTGGCAGCGTGGTGCGCAATGATCTGCTCAAACTTTCTTCTTCCCACAGACACCTTCTCCCACGGCTCCTGCAACGTCGAGTTGCTCAAGCCTGCCGATGTCTGCGTTCGTGTCTGCCTCCCAACTTGCTCTGCCATCTGTCCAGCTGCATCAAAATGCACAGGTAGTGCCTGCTCTTGCTCGATGCGATTGGAAGTGTACCACAGCTCCGCTGCACAGTCTGCCTTTTCGGATCGCAAATGACCCACGATGAGGTTGAAACCGGCATACAGGTGCCTGTTCGGGACGACGTGTTGCTCCAGGTAGCGTTTCCCATCGTCTCTGTGCCCTTGCTCTGCATCGCCCACGCACCAAGAAGCATCCAACCAAGCTTTCGTTAGGTTGCCCCTGCTAAGATGCTTGTCAAGTCCGCAATGCGAAGGTAAAGGTGGCGCAGCAGACTCGGTGTAGTTGGTCAGAGCTGCTATCCTTCCGCCTCGCGTCAGGCCTAACCAAGTCCCGCCAGCGCTCAGGTCCAATCCCGACAACACCTCCTGCTGCCCCGCCGCGCTATGCGATTGCGATTGCGATTGCGATTGCGATTGCCATTCGCCTCCTTTGCTCGCCTCATTCTCGTCTGTGCGCGTGATGAGCAAGTCGTGGGCCTTGTGAGCAGATTCGAGACTGGCTGCATGCGCTCCAGCTCCACCTTTACCGCCTGTGCCTCTGTGCCAGCGCAATGCTTGCGTGCTGCGATGCAGAAACTCGTCCCTGTTGCTGGCGCAGATGAAGGAGTAGCGAGGATGAGATGTGCTGATGAACAGGATGCACATGATGCCGAGTGCGAGGCGCGCCAGACCAGACCAGCTGGCATGGAGGGCTTGCGATTGCGAGCGTTGGTGGTGGAGACTGATTTGAACATGCTGCGCGCGCGCGCGCGAGGTTGAAGCATGCATAGCATAGCGTTTGTCTGGTATTTCGCTGCGCATGTATGCGCACTCGTCCGCACGCAGGCTCATGATCAAGCTTTCAAGCTGACGTCCTCGATCGAGCGGCCTTGACACTCCATGAGCCCAGCAACGCTTCGCAATCACGAATCGCATCGCATCGCAAGCAAGCAACAGCCTGAATGAAGCACAAGCGCATGTATTGGTGCGGATGGGCATCAGTCAGTCGAACAATGCGACTGTCCGAACCTCGCCACGAGGAGGCTCCCATCCATAGAGGTTCGTGTGTGTGAAAACAACGGCGAGGGCCGGTGGGGGGGGG